TCTGCTAGAATTAAGTCTGTAACAAGGCACTGATCCTGCCTTTACTGGTGTAAGCAAAAAGTTTCTGTGCCCACGTATGGCTGCACTGACCACGATGGGGTGTTCACAAAAGCAGGATCAGGGATTTGTACTTTAGCTTGCTTTTAGTAAAATGGGATGGAAAATGTATTGAAATAAAACAGTAGAAAACCACAGAGAGAATCAGAGTTGTAATTCCCCCCTTTTAGAGGGCTCATTGACACTAGGCTGGAAAATATGACTGAAGACCCATGTCAGGGCTGAGCAATGCCCGAGTGGTTCATGTCACCACTAAGTAAACAACAGGATTTAGGTCTTGCATCACCTCCTGTAACTGGCCTGCAGCTGGTTGAAATAAAGCTCACTGAATTCACTGGACATCTCACCAACAATCTCAGTAGGCACTGGACCAAGTTTGGAACTTACATGGTATGGTCTGCAATGTGCTTTGATTTCTTCCTTGAGCAAAGCCATTTTTATTACTTAAAGTATGTCTGTATTTACGATTTGTATATAAATGTTATGCCTCTGCTACTTACTGGTTGTGAAGCACAGGCCAGACTACACCTCCCGTAGCTGCTGCTGCGCTGCTACACGCGGCACCGCCCACAAAGGCTGTCTATTCACAGTCACTATAACTGGTGTCCTGTGCTGAATACTGAACCACCTGAATATTGATCCCTGAGGTACCATTGCTCTCAACTAAAACATTGTCCCAGTTTTTCACTTGCAGGAGAGAAAAATGAAATATGCCCAGGCGTTGAAGTTCACCAGTTGTGAGACCAGGGATGTTCCTCCAAACAAATCCACGGACCCATGTTTGGTCACTGCGTCATTAACTCATGCAGGAGGGACCCCTCCACACAAGCCTGATTCCACCAGCTACCCCATGCTGGGCACCTGGCACTACACAGTGCACCTCCCACTTTGCCTTTCCTCCCCTTGGGAAGGAGTGAGCACTCAGTCTGGAAATACTTCCTCCTGGGATATGGAATAGGTTTTCTCCCTCCTTGTCTCTCCTGCAACTTGTTCTCAATACGTTATTCCTTCTACCCAACTTGGCTCTTTCAAAATTCCTTCTGCACACTTTGACTCTTATCATTTAAGTAAAACCTTGTATTATATTACTGTGAGAATCTGGTGAGCGGTCTTTTTTGGAGCCAGCTGCTCTTAGTTGGGTGTTATCAGCAAGCCCAGACATAAATTATTTGTGACTGCAATTTACAGATGGCCTGTAAGCACGAGGGGCTTCCTTCCAACACAGGCACAATTTAAAGAGGCTGCAGAATGACCCTAGTTTTTGTTCTTCCAATAACTAGTTGAAATTATTTTCCTTAAACTGTTCACCACACAAAAGTAGTGCTCAGGCTGAATGAAATTCTGCTCACAGCTGCCTAAGCATACATCCAAACCAACCTTTCTGGTTTTATTTCAATACATGTATTAATGAATCAGAACATAAAACATAGAGTTCAACCCTGGCAGACCGACCTAATCACTAGTGTAACTTTCCTGACTTTTAATAGTGAAACCCACAACAGCATTTCCAGCATCAGCATCTGTAGTGGTTGCCATAGGTTCCATAATGTTTGGTAATTTATGTAAAATTTGAGTTCCTCATGGTGTGTGTGAATGCAACAGAATTAGAGCTTTATTTAAAATAACTAGGAAAAAAAAGGATTCTGGTAGTGGAGAGAAAAATTTGAAAGTATGATCCCAAAGGCTCAAAAAGGCTCAAAGGGGAAATAAATAGGACCCAATTAGCTGTGTTAATATCTTGTGGCTTGTAGGTTGGAGCAGCTGGAGTACTGCTGAGGTGTCATTACATTATGCTTGACTGGCTCACTGTTTAAGTGCATGTGAGTGGGTTAAATGTGAAGTCTAAACATAATGCATGTGTGTTTAAGGATGGGGGAAAAAAAAAAAAAGAAAAACAGTGTAAGTTGGTTTTGATCTTATCCTCAATTTCTTTAAAGCCAGTTACCACATTTGACTCTAGTGGAAGACCTTGGAGGAAAAGCCATTCAATGTAGGGCCACAGGACCTGGGTAAATGCACGTGTGATGCGTCATCTCCGGCACCGTGAAAGCCAATTTCCAGCATGACTATAAATGTACCCCAATTTACCACTGTCCCTCACGTGCTTGACCTTGCTGCCCCTCCCTACACATGCGCTTGCCTGCAGCCTCATCCCTTGCCAGGATGTCCACTGAATTCAGCACCGAGTTCCTTCTGCATGCCAAGGGTACACCTGCGCTGCATTTGGAGGGTGTTCCTCGGGCTGGTTTCTGCACTGGAGCCACCTCCCAGGCCCCGGCCAGTGGGTATGGTGGGGAGCAGGTGCTGGGAATGGTGCAGAGCTACCTATGAGGGCTCAGGGAGGACAGGGTAAGAGCGGGTGAAACTCTTGCTCTGCTGAAGTCGGTGTCGGCATGGCCAGCGCTGCCAGGCGTGGCTTACTTCCCTTGTGCAATTAAGGAGCAGCAGAGGAAACACGGTAGGTTGTTTGCAGCCCACCCTGTTTTCTGCCTGTGTTAAACTTAGGCTGTGAGGCCTTGCCTTGCTGTGCTGTGGTTTCTTATTGGTGAAGTTTATGGGGCTCTTAAGACATTATCCTTAAGCCTCAAATCAGCAGGAGATGCGTGCGGTTCCTCTCCCTCTGTTCAGACAAAAGGCAATGGGACACACCAGCTCTGTTCAAAGCAGAGCAAAGCCTCCACTAACTTCACAGAGTCCAAGATTTCTCCTCCAGTTTCAGCTCTAGAAGCCGGACCACTTACACCCCCTCTTGCTTTATCTGAGAGACCTAAGACACACAGGACTGAGGGTCTAAATGGCACAATGGTGGGCTTCTATCAATGCTTCTCAGCTAGTTGCAGTCAACTTTAATTTTGCCTCTTTCACTCTCAACCGATCTTCTTAACCTGCTTCTTAGCCAGGGCAAAATTAAGCATGAGGAAAAAGGCTTATTCAGCATTATAATAATCTACTCTCAAGCTGTATAACAAACGTTTTACACATGTAGTTGTTTTTGCCTAATATTTCCACGTATACAGTAGTCCTATTAATGAATATCATAGCTTCATTACTGCATATCACATTTTGCTATTTGTTGTGTACCATAAAATAATGTCAGCACATCAATAACTTAAATAACACAAGTGTAAACTCATTTTCTGCTCATTATAATTATGGTTTTAGCCTGCAGAGGCTTTTTCATTTGTAAGACCATTTACATAACATGGAATGTAACTTTATTTGTTTTGCTTCTGTATATAATGAGACACTGAAAGCCCTTGTCATTTCTTAACAAGATACTAAAGCAGCTCTGTTTCATGAATGACAGCACAATTAAAGCTAAAAATCATAAATTTAAAAAAAAAAACAAAAACAAAAACAAATCCTTGTACTGTACAATCTCAAATTAAAGCAAAAAAGATAATTACAATCTTTTGCATTAACCAGGAAATGTGATTCTCTGCCACTGGGCTTTTTTTTCTTGTTGACAATTCACAGAATGGGTATATGGGTGTAGTTATAGTGTGTGTATATCCTATGCAGAACAGCAGTCCCTATTTTGTTGATCTAGTTCTTCTAATTGTTTAGTTAAAACTACCTAACTGATACAATTTAGAATACTACATTAACACATTTAACATCAAGTTTACATACTTGCGTCTTTGAAATACTAGGAATTTTTACACATTTTATTTGGCTTCGTAAGGACTGGAATATCACAGATAATGCAACCTACTTGTCTTTGAAAGAATATGGCTGTTCTCAACTAACTCCCTAAGGTTCAGAGTGAAATACGTTTCTCCTCATATCTGTAGCTGACTTCAGAGAAGAAAGAGAGTCTTCTTTAAGTGGTCAGTCTGATGTTACAGTACAGATTCTGCAGGGAGAGAGAGATATATTTAATGAAGGATAATTCTCTCTGGACTTTAGAGTTAAGCTGTTGCAGCAAAATTACTCCGTTTAGACTATTTTTCTCTATACAAATCTCGAGAAAAACCTATTCCAAGTATGTTTTGTAGTAGTATCTCCACATGACCAGAGGAGGGCACTTTGAACATCTTTGCACTGCCCAGGAGGCAGATGCAGAAGCACAGTGTTACCCAATGTCGCCGCAGTCCTGCCACCTCTGCCCGTCCAGGCAGGCATCCTTGTGTCCACAAAAATACAGAATCCATATTGTACCACAGGGCTCTGTTCTGAAAACAGTGGGCAGATATATCGCTCTCTTCTTGCCAACTTGGATTTCTTCCTATTTCCACCATTCAATTCAGTGTCGCTGTGGGTCAAATTGAGATTAACCAATAATTCCTAAAAATCACTTGAGGGGAGTTGTCTCACTCTCCTCCCTGAACATCCCTCTGCTATTAGCCCCCGGTAATTTAGCAAATATTGATTGATTTAACCCTCTATGCCTTATCCTGCTGCAGAAACTTCTTGCCTTGAACTGAAAAATGCACTTGGAAAATGCACTCTCTGAGATACGTATTGCACCAGTGCATCTTTTCACATTAAGCTCTTGTAAAAGTGCTGCTCCCTCCTGCCCTCTGAGGGAGGCGACTCTGTGTGTCCCCGGAAGAGAACATAGCAGAGAAATCAATCTGTTCTCTCTTCCTTTCATGACTGCAGTGTGGAGTTCAGCCACTTCCCATGCAAGAAACAAATCTTTGGGGTTTGTTTTGGCTAAAGGTATTAACCTTCTAAGGAAAATATTGTAATTTTGCAATCTTACTGTTATCACAGAAAGATTTTTTTTGTCACCGCTCTGATTTGTTTTGTTCAAATTTAACACTGAAAAACTATTAGATAGGATTTAGAACTTCTTTTTTCTTAAATAAAAGTCTCTCCTCCACCACGGGGAAACACACTGCTTGTTTAATGTACTTTTTTTTTCCTCAACATTATTCCTTTTCTCTTTTCTTCTCTTTTCTTCCTTTTTTTTTTTTTTAATTTCCTTTTTTCTTTTCTTTTTTCTCTTCTTTCTTTTCTCCTTTCTTTTCTAGAGCAGACAGGTACAAGAAGGAAGTTGTCTTTCAGCAGCAGTCCTTTGAGATAGAGTAGAATTCAGTGAGTCCTCACCATGATAGGATCATAAACTTACTGGGTTAAACCAAGCTAACTTTCCCTAAGCTGCCAAGTTTTAGCTGCACCATACATATATGTGTTTCCTTGTGCCATTTTCTTTTCTTGTGATTTTGTTTTTCTTGATGACCCTGAGCTATGGCTTCTCGTTTCTACCACTAGTCAACCTTCCTTTCTTTTCTGGTTTTGCCGATATAGGCCTCAAAGAAAAAATGGCAGAAGAGCACAAAGTAGCTGAGGTACATGAGAGAGGACCAGATGATGTTCTGCACGTGGGAATGGCACTGGCCCTGCTGCATCCAGGAGAAGACCAGGTAATTGATCACGCAGCCGATCAACATCTGAGTGATCTGCGACAAGGTGATGAACATGGCAAACTTGCGTGAGACTCTGAAGCCAGCAGCCCGCAAGGCATAGTAAGAGTACATAACGGCGTGTACTCCATAGTTCATGGTCATGAACCAGCCACCGCCAGCCACCATGTCCTTGTAGGAATACCAAGAATAAAGTAACACAGTAATGTGATGGTACCAGTGTAAGAAGATGAGCTTCTGTTTCCTAAGAATAATGAATATTGTATCACCTGTAACAAAAGAAAAAAAGAAAAAAAAAAGGAGGAAAAAAAAAAGGTTTCAAAAAGGAGAAACATATTGAACAATTCCATAATTACTGCAGTGCTCTCTTCTCTTCGCTGTTGCTGGAGTATACACTATTTTGGAGCATGAAAAACCACCTCAGGTCTAGATCTGAGAGCCTGTCTGATCTGAGAGCCAGCTGGACTCCTAATTATGCAATCTTTGGAAAACCCACATAGCCACGTTTTCCTGTGTAACTCCTGCTTGAAAACTCCATAGGTCCACTTGGTAGCCCTTTGCTGCGAATCTAATCTATGAAAGCCTGAGGTGAGGTGGGTGGATGTACATGTAACAGCTCTGACTGTCAGACTGCCCATTATATACTGTAGAGAGAAATGCAGCTTGTCAGCGAGCAGAAAACCCGGAGAGGAAGCAGCACAGTGTCCTCCGATTCAAATGCCTACCTACAAACTGAACATACCTAAACTCAGTAGAACCTTTTGAGCTACTATACAGAAAACTATTTGCATATGCAACCTCCAATACCACAAAGTATCCAACTGCCAGAAAAGAATGTTTCTAGGAAGAAATTTGGTTTATGTTCAAATGCACATCCTTTTCTGCAAATTCATGTTGCTATTGTAGAAAAGTAAGTTTTACTCCTCTTTTCCTGCTTTCCTCTTCTGCTTCTCATGATGACACTGAGCATCTTGGTTAGATCTATGTATATATAGGTATGCTGTTTGTTTTCTTTCATTACAGACACAGTACAGACTTATCCTAAAAGATCCCTGAGACTTGAATCTGGCGACTCACTTCTGTGTATATGGATCCAACTTCTATGTATAAGGAAATCCAAATCATGAATGTTAGTGATGGGTGGAACCAAAACTGCACTGTCTCCACAAGGTCTGTAATAATCCGTAATGCTACTGTTTACTTCATTATCTGAAAGATGTTGACTCACATTTTAATAAGTAACCATAAGTTCAATTTATTGTTGCTGTGCAGTTCTAGTTGATGTTTTCCAGTTTTAACAAATAAATTACTGTAGTTTTGCAGTAATTTAAGCAGCAGGAAACCAAGGGATTCTCACACAGCAAGGCAACTGGTGTCTGTCTCTTTCCAGTTTTTATGCAGATGAATTGCTGTCCTGTAATTTCCTGAATCAAATTCTCTGCTGAAAGGTAAAGATTTATTTTTGCTGTACACCTGAACACAGTGAGTACTGGAGCCCTTTGAAATTTAGTAAGGGCATCCTCTGAAATGAAAGCTGGAGGGCTGCTAAATCACTGCCTCCTCCTTCCCATTAAAACAATCCTTTCTTACACTAATAAGCCATGGGATGAGAACACATGCACGCAGGCCATTAAGTTGGTTTTGGCATGTATATCATAAGCATCCTTAGCAAAAGATCCTGGAGAGACAGTTTATAAGACAGGACTGGAAAAGCTAAGGCTATTATGGAAAATTGGTTTCTATTTGGAGGAAGCAGACAGCCACAGCTTCCAGTGTTTAGGGAGGAAGCCCATTGCTGCTCATAATTGTACGCCTACATGGGTATTTAAGGATGACTGCTGCAGAATGGAGGCAGAACCTGATTCAAAGCTTCTTGCTGACACAGCTTTACACAGCCAGTGTACTCCTGGGCTGGGAATGGTCTTATTCAGCTGCACATTGCTCTAACTTCAGCTGAGCTGGACTTAATCTCTAGAGACTAAAACATAGAGTTTGGGGTTGGTTTTGTTTAGTCTTTCTCTAAGACTAAAATGAGATTTTGACAGCACCAAGACCCTTCTTGTGCATCCTGTGCAGACATTTCTGCTCTAAATATGCCTAGTGAGAGAAAGGGAGAGAGGGTACTCACCTAGTTCGGGTGCTTTGCTTAGCACAAATGCATATGCCCAGAATTTGCTGACAGGTCCAATGTAAAAACTCTGGTCACACACTGACTGCTTCAGGCCTTTGGTCATCAAAATGTACAGCATATAAGCACCAGTTCGAACAGCACCGAATATACTTTAAAACAAAAAGAGAAAATGAAGAAAGTTGAGTGGACACTTGAAATCTACATGCCATCACTTCAAACCGTTTTGAGAGAAAGGCCGTAAATGGGCTGAAATAAATTTGAGAGAGCCTTAAAGCTGGAGCAACTCTGCTGGCTTCTAGAAAGTTATTCCACGCTCAGGTTTGTAAACTGGACTGCAGCTGTGTCCCCTGATCAAAGTCTGGAATGGTAACATCAGTGGGTATATTTCATTACTGCAAAAACCATCCTTCATTTTTCAGGAGCAGTGGGAGACATCTTCAGCTGAAAACAACAAGTAGAGTTTTGATGCTGCCAGACAGGAGATTACAAGAAACAAGTTGATGAAGATCTGTCATCAACATAATCAGGATGTCTTCTGATTTCGCCATAGTTTTCTCTTGTCTCTCCCTGTGTTTGTTGCACCCACAGGAGCTCTGAGCACAGCCAAACCCAGGTAGGGTGCACACATTTTGATGAAGGGGTCTCAGTCAGGGCCAGTGTTGTGGTGCACATGCTGACTTCATACTTCATCTCTCAACAGATCATTGGTGACAAAGGAATAGAATAGTTTAACTGAGTCATAAATAACAGATTCACCTTCATGTCACGAAAGTGAGGTGACACAAGGTAACAGTGTTCTGTAAATGAGAAACATCAAGAGATCTGCAACGGTATTAATTAGTGCAATTACAGATGGGATAGGTTCAGATAACAGAAGACATTCAGCTGATGCAAGGAACAAAAGCTTCTGTCTCAGCAGTGAGGAGCTCTGCAGAAGGAACTGCCTCACTGTTCCACAGCAAGAAAATGCTTGCCCACTATCTACCATTGTAGCTAGATGGTCCTTCAGAAGCTGTGATGAATACGGGGTGAAACAAGCAGCTTTCAGAAAAACGGAGCAAAGAAAGGCCTGAGTCTCCTTTGGGGTTGAGTATAAACCTTTAGTAAGTGTGTACAGCGTAAGTATACCTTACAACATACATCCCTGTGCCTCTACCCAGCTCCATCATCTCCCCTCCAACTTCTTTGTTACCTTGTCCTACCTATGCACCCTCTGGTTCCTGCTCTGCATTGCTGTATTTCGTGACTATTGTATGGCAGTAATCAAACCAAGCCACCTAAAACTGATGCACTGATACATATGGGCAATGCAAGTGTAGCGGTCAACAGCTCAATGTCCAGATGGAAAAAGGTGACAAGTGGTGTCCCTCAGGGGTCCGTACTGGGACCAGTGTTGTTTAGTATCTTCATTAATGATATTGAGAGTGGCATCGAGTGCACCCTCAGCAAGTTTGCTGATGACAACAACCTGGGTGGTGCAGTTGACATGCCAGAGGGATGGGAGGCCATCCAGAGGGACCTGGACAGGCTGGAGTGGTGGGCCCAGATGAACCTCATGAGGCTCCACAAGGCCAAGTGCAGGGTCCTGCACCTGGGCTGGGGCAACCAGCATTATCAAGATAGACTGGGAGAGGACACACTAGAGAGCAGTCCATTGGAAAAAGACCTGGGGGTACTAGCAGATGAAAATCTGGACATGAGCCACCAATGTGTAATTGCAGCCCAAAAGGCAAATTGTATCCTGGGCTGCATCAAAAGAAGCGTGGCCAGCAGATGGAGAGAGGTGATCCTGCTCTACCCTGGTGAGACCTCACCTGGAGTGCTGTGTCCAGCTCTGGAGGCCTCAACATAAGAAGGATGTGAACCTGTTTGAGAGTGTACAGAGGACAGCCATGAAAATTATTTAGAGGGCTGGAGCACCTCTGCTATGAAGACAGGCTGAAAGAGTTGGGGTTGTTTAGCCTGGAGAAGAGGAGGCTCCAAGGGGACCTTACAGCAACCTTCCAGTACATGCAAGGGGCCTCTAAGAAGATCTGTTTTCAAGGGTTTGTAGCAACAGGACAAGAGGTAATGGTTTCAAGCTAGAAAAGTGTAAATTTTGTTTAAACATTAGCAAAAAGTTCTTTCATATGAGGTTGGCTGATCACTGGGATACGTTGCCCAGACAGGTGGTGGAGGCCCCGTCCCTGGAGACATTCAAGGTCAGGCTTGATGAGGGTCTGAGCAGCCTGACTTAGTTAGAGGTGTCCCTGCTTTCTGTAGTGGGGTTGGATTAGATGGCCTTGAGAGGTCCCTTCCAACCCAAACATTCTATGATTCTATGATTTTGATGCCTGAGGTTTCACTGTGCCATCAGGAAGCTCAGACAACAGAGAGCATTTAAGAAGCTGCTCTTATTATCTGTGATTTGTGTGGTGGTATTTGCTCATGGGCTCTACTGTCAGATGAGTCCTTTTGTGCTATGTGCAAATAAAACCCCATCCTGCTGTGGTACAGGTGTTCTGAAGGAATTTATCCGAGTCTGGGTTTCCCATCAGCACTGCCCAAAGCAACGCACATATTCCCAGGCTGAGGCAAGGCAGCTGTTGCAGCCTCTCATGTCCATCCACCCTTGCATCCAGAAGAGATCGCGCACTGTTCTTAGCATCTGTGCAGCCTGTAGTCCATCCTCCCTGTGTAGGGTTGTTCCCTCCCAGAAATGTTCTCTCAGCATGCTTTCCTCACATCTTTCAGGGCTTGTTCCTTTTAACTCAGCAGAGAGTGCCGAAGCCCACAGGAGTTCTGAAAAGAGGTGCAACTCACTCTGTGTCTTCTCTCTGGCAATTAACACATGCCCTTTTTGTCTCAGGAGCTGCATTTCTCCCTCCCAAGAAGGCAGGATATCTTGACAGAGATGTGATCTGATCAATTCCTGAGGCAGTGAACTCTTTGAGCTAGCCAGGGCAGGCTGCTGCTTGCTCCTGTGTTTCGGGTGATGACAAAACTGGGTGGAGGAAGATCAGGTAGAATATCTAATGATATGCTGGTTCTCCCATTAGCAAATACCTCAGTGCTGACATTAAAATGGGGGGAAAAAAGAGAATTTTAAATTATTAAATCAAACAGCTGCAAGCAATATGCCCTTCCTTGTAGAAATGCTGTGCTACTTTTCTTAAATATCTTATATTGTTGAAGTTTTAAACCCAAAGAGAATTCTGTGCCATGAACACAAGCTCGGATGAGAAGAGCTCTTGTTCAAGCAACTGGCAAACGTTGACTTAGCTGTAAGTGATCGACTGTGGACATCCAGGGATTTAATCTGGACTGATAACAACGCCAAAGAGTATTTGCCCTGTGGGGATTACAGAGTTTCACTTTGCTGTCCTGGAGTCTATAACGATATAATTCTTCCCAGCTTTCTGTTTACCCCTCCTGCAGAGCTCTCCTCAGAGTGCACGTGCACACACACTCACTCACTTGTCTATAATTTCACAGCACAGTGGCTTCCTCTAGCTCCATGACTCTAGGAGTGACTCCAGCTACTGCTCTACAAGGTGTGAGTCTGACTAGCCCAAATTTTTTATCAGTAAAAGCCAAGTTATGTTTTTGTATAATTCACAAGGGAAGACTTTGTAAATAAGGACGATGGAAAACTGGAAGTAACTGATTCAATTACCCAAATAAACGCCATGAGCAGGTAGATGTTTATGAGATGTGCTGCATGCCAAAACACTACCTTGCCAACAAGAACACACCACTGGAGACAGAAAAAGGTCTAATACATGCCTGCAAATGTCCCTTGGGCCCAGAGAGCCAGGACTGCTTTTTGTGTCTCTGCCACTTAATCTTGTTTGTTCTGTAAGGTAAGATCAACCAACAAATTTCTATCTTGCAAAGACATGATGTGCAGCAGAGTGATGACACTGCTTGCTCAGTAAATCACTTCTGCTTCATTTTGTCCTCGCCCTGCTCTCTGCTGTAGCTTTTGTGAGGTACTGAAATGAACTGCTTACCAAAGCAGTCTGTCTGGTGGGAATCATCTGCAGGGATTTGAGAAATAAGGTAGCAGTGAATTACTGTACAATTACAGCCTTTTGCAACTAGAGAGACTGATGAGAAACAAACTGCACCAGCTAACGCAGCTTTCTCATCTGTTCAGACTCAAACTGTCCTACATTCTGCTTCCTTCAGGCAGTGACTTCTCTAGTAGATTAAAAAGTGCCCAATTGATATTTACTGACCATAATATGATCAAAATGTATCCATGAGTAAAATAAAAACTAATACTCTTCCCTCACAAACTTTTCAAATGGGGGCCTCAAAACACATTGCATGCATGGGTTGGGTGCAGCATTGAGAGTGAGGGAAACTGAGGGGGAGCTACATGATGGGAAGACAAAGCAGAAGCTATTGGCCAAAGCCTGTTACTGCTTTCTGTTCCCTTCATCCTACTGACCAGGAGGGAGTGAAGCACTTGTTTCTCAAAAGCCTGTGAGGGCAGCAGGTAGCTCAGCTGCCACTGTAGCAGGCTCAACTCCTCCTCACAGTGAGGAGAACACTGCCTGTTTTTCTAGGGCTGCTTCCTATGCAGACCCATAACTGCACTTGGCTCCTAACACCTCTGGACATCCTGGTCCAGGATAAACTTTGCAGAAGGGAGCAGGGAATGTAGGCTCCACATTAAAAAAAAAAAAATTAAAAGTTCATCACAGAAGACAGCAACATGTCCTAGAGGATTTTAGTGTTGTGATAACCACCAAGTGGAAATCCTCTGCTCCAGTTTGTATCTTTAAAAAGTGTTTAACCAAACACATCATGCAAACTGTATCTGCAGAACTAGGTAAAGATGGCACTGAAGGGGATAAATGTTTTGCCTATGACTAAGGTGAATGTAAAATATGTTAGCTACAAGCTACATGTCAAAAGCACAGTATGTTTATTTTGGAAAGCATGCTATCCTGTGTACACAGCACCAGCAGAGAGCAGCAGGGGGCCTGCAGACAGCAACACCTAGCCACATTGTGGAAAATTAAGGGCTTGTAGGGACTTCAAGCAGAGCCCTCCTCACCCAGGCCCACAGGCTGTTCAGGTGGCTCAAACCACAGGTGGCCAGTTGGCTTAACCAGTCCTTGAGGTGCTGGACTATCCCCTGCTGTGGGTGAGCTGGGCT